GACCCCGGGGCCGCAGCTGGTTTCAGGAAACTGCGCAGCCTGGGCGGGGCCTCAGCCCCCACCCCTGCATCTGCCATCTCCGCCCTCCCGTCGCTCCCCTGCTCGGGGTCAGCTCCTGTCCGCTCTGCTACGCTGCCGGCTCCCGGAGGACGGCAGGTGAGGCAGGGCCCCCGCGGCCCGGGAGACCCTCTTGCCGCAGGACCCTCTGTCACGAGGAGTCCCCAGGGCCATGCCCCCACCCCGTCCCGTCCACAAGACGTCTTTCTTCCTCCATCCTGGTTTCCAGGAGAACTCGCGTAGGAGGGAGGGACAGCTGGGTGCAGGTGTTTCTCCCCAGAAAAACGGCTGGAGAGCAGGAGGAGAGGCTTGGGCCTGGCGCGTCCCCTGCACTTTCCGCCACCCGCACGCCTGGACCCTGGCTGGAACCCTACGGTGGGGTGGCTCCTGGGACGGGGCCAGGGCGTGGCGGGGCTGCCGGACGCTTTCCCCAGTCCCGGGGCACGGGAGGAGCTGGACAGAGGAAAGCGTTCGGGGCAGCCGGGAAGAGCCCACCACCTACCAGGCGTCCGGCGTCCGGCAGGGGGAATCTCTGTGGTGCCAGCCTGGTTCGGATCCGACTCCTCAGGAGGGGGCGAGGCAGATCTAGGGGTTGGCGTGGGGTGGGGGAAGCAGTGGTCCTGGGGGCCCGGAGATAGCTGGAACCTGAGGTGCACTCAGGGCGAGGCCTGGGCCCTCAAGGGAAGGTCTGGCTGGAATCTGGGGCTGGGCTTCGTTTTGTGGGAAGCAGTCTGATGTGCATGTGCGGAATTGTCTAACTCCTGTCTTTTCTAATCCCAAGGAGGCCAGGTGGGTGAAAGAGTGAAAGTGCTTTGAAAAGTAGGTAGAGGACTAATGGCAGGTGTTATTAGAATTGTTAATATTATTTGATGTAAACTGTGATACTTAGCCAGGATGTCCATTAGAATTACCTATGCAGGATTTATTTTAGAGCCAGGCAAGCTGATTCTAAAGTGCATGTGGAAAAGTAATCTAGCAAAAATAGCCATGACAATTCTGAGAGAAAAACCACACGAGGGGATTGTGAAACAGCCCAATTAGCATTAAGCTCCAGGTTAAAATTGTGGTAATGATGCCTAGCCCATGAGACATGCCAATGGGCAGAATATAAGGCCTAGAATAGGCCTACATTCCTGGGGGAACTTCGTTTCTGCTCAGGAGAGAATTTTAAATCACTGAGAAAAAGAGGATGTATTCCACAAATGGAACGTATGTTTCAGAAGTTAAACATCGGAATGACAGCAACAGAACTTGGATCCGTGTCTCCCAACGGCCAAGGTTGGTCACGCAGCTCCCAAATTCCAGATGGTCAACATTTAAAAGTGAAAACTGAAAGCATAAAACCACTTAGAAGAAAATATGGAAGATTATTTTTTGATCTTGAAACAGGGAAGTCCTTTAAAAGTCTGAGAGCTAGACACCATAAATAGAATGAAATAGAATATGGATTGTAAGAAAATACAAGCAAGGTCAAAAAATAAACTACAAATTGTAAAGAAACATTTGAAACTTATATCACAAATGGTATTTTTGTGAATAGATAAAGAACTTCCATAGAAAAAATCAAAACGAAACAGGGACATAGGATGTGAATGGAGAGCTCACAAAAGAAGAAATAAAAATGCCCCTTAACGTATGAAAAAACAATCAACCTCACTCATAATAACAGAACTATGGGCCAGGCGTGGTCCTGGTGGCGCACACCTGTAATTGCAGCACTTTGGGAGGCTGAGGTGGGAGGACTGCTTGAGTCCAGGAGTTTGAGACCACCCTGGGCAACAAAGCAACACCCCATCTCTCTCTCTCTAAAATATGAAAGGGAACCGGCCAGGCGCGGTGGCTCACGCCTGTAATCCCAGCACTTTGGGAGGCCGAAGTGGGTGGATCACGAGGTCAGGAGATCGAGATCATCCTGGCTAACACAGTGAAACCCCGTCTCTACTAAAAATACAAAAAATTAACTGGGCTTGGTGGTGGGCGCCTGTAGTCCCAGTTACTCGGGAGGCTGAGGCAGGAGAATGGCGTGAACATGGGAGGTGGAGCTGGCAGTGAGCCGAGATCGCTCTGCTGCACTCCAGCCTGGGCGACAGAGTGAGACTCCATCTCAAAAAAATAAAATAAAATAAAAAATAAAAATAAATAATAATAAAAGAGAACCATGAATTAAAAATATATGCAAGTCGTTACAGAAAGCAAGTTAGTGGTTGCTCATGGCCAGTGGTTGGGGTTATTTCCTGAGAAGGGGCTTTAGGGAACGTGTTGCAGTGTAGGAATGTCCTATATCTTGATTGTAGCTGTAATTGCACAAACGTATAAATTTGTCAAAACTCATTGAGATATACATTTAAAATGGGACATTTTATTACATAAAATTGATTAAAATCAATGCATTTTTCCCCATATAAAAGGAAAAGGATAAAAGAGTTTGCCTCCTGCGTGTGAATTGCTACCACTTCCATGGAGGGTAACTGACAATATCTTCTGAAATTGCAAATGCACATTCCAGTTGCCCTGCCAATTCCACATTGTCTGTAATGGAAAAGGATTGGAAATAACCTAAATGTCTGCCAATAGGGGACCACTTAAATAAATTATAAGAAATTCATACTCTCGAAATATATGCAGTTACACAAGTGATGAAGAAGCTTTTGTGAAAGTTGTCAGAATCATAATCGAGTCACTTGTGTTAAAAAAAATCTGAAAATTAGAGCCTGAGAAAGCCCACAAGGCAGGGTTCTCCTGCGTAAATACCTGGTAACAAAAATCGTCACAAAGGACTCTGTAAAATGACAACCTTACACAAAAAACTACTTCTGTGAGGACATCCACCAGCAACTGCCTGTCTAACCCTGGACAGGTGTCACCCTTGTTATTGATCCTTGTAGCCAAGGATGATCATCTCAAAGTGATTATGTAAGTCTCCCCATTTTTCCTTTAAAAACCTTTGTCTTCTTTTACCTGCCTGAATGTGCACACGATTTACTATGGTAAGCATATTCTCGTTGTAATGCCCTAGTCCAGAATAAATCTCATTTTCTTTTGGAGAACCTCTCTCTGTTATTTAGGTTGACGCTTTTTATGGACTCATGTAGGGTTATTCTAAAAACATGATCATGTGAACACAGCATCATGCAAATCAGTGTGTATAGTATGCTGCTATTTGTGAGGAAAGGGGGGAGAAATACTTTTTCACACTTTTGTATGCAAAAATGTCATGGTAGGATTTATAAGAAACCGATAATATTACTTTCCATCTGCAAGGCAAATAGGTGGTTGAGGGAAAAAGATGAGAGATAAGGTTTTAAAGGTATATATAGCCTTTTGTATCTCTTAACATTTTTATGTGTAAAGTATTTTGTGTAAAGATATATATACAGATATACTAAGTCACTAATCACTGAGGTCACTGTGACATTGATATCTGCATTGGGAAGGGAAGACCTTTTGGATCTTGACAAAGACACTGTTTTTTTTTTTTTTTTTTTTAGGATGGAGTCTCACTCTGTTACCCAGGCTGGAGTGCAGTGGCAACATCTCAGCTCACTACAACCTCAGCCTCCCGGGTTCAAGTGATTCTCCTGCCTCAGCTTCCTGAGTAGCTGGGACTACAGGTGCGCACCACCATGCGAATTTTTGTATTTTTAGTAGAGAAGGGGTTTGCCACATTGGCCAGGCTGGTCTTGAACTCCTGACCTCAGGTAATCCACCCACCTCAGCCTCCCAAAGTGCTAGGATTACAGGCGTGAACCATTGTGCCCATCTGGGATCTTGACAAAGACACTATTTATCTCCTTTCACCTGTGCTATTTCCCTCACCTAGTTCCCAGAC